AAAAACTCTCATCAGCAGTACAACCTATAACGCTTCATTTCCCCTCCAGGAGGAAAAAAAAAGAAAACGTTACACGATATAGCAGATCTACAACCTGTCCTCAAAATATTTAACCGTCTTGCAAATAATTTCCAAGCATTCGTCGAGCTGCTCCTTGGTGATGCAAAGGGGGGGAGACAATCGAATGGTCTTATCATGCACAGATCTGGTGATGAGTCCATTTTCCTTAAACTTCAAACAAATGTCCCACACGTTGACAATCTCATTCCTGAACTCAATGGCACAGAATAGACCTCGTCCTCTGACCTCACGAACGATTTTGCAGTCTTTCAGTTCTTCTTTTAAAGCCTTTAAGAAGGGTCCACCTAACCTTTCTGCATTTTCGCTAAGCTTCTCATTGATTAAAACCTTGAGCGATTCTACACAAATGGCAGCAGCAAGTGGGTTTCCTCCATAGGTAGACCCATGCTCACCTGGTTTCAACACAAGCATAACATCATTGTTCGCCAAAATGGCTGAAATGGGGTAATGCCCTCCTGAAAGGGCCTTGCCAAGAAGAATCACATCAGGTTTGACACCATAATGGTAAGTACATAACAGTTTTCCTGTTCTTCCTAGCCCTGTTTGTACCTCATCGGCTACAAAAAGGACATTATATTTTTTGCACAATGCTTCTACACCTTTGAAGTAGCCATCCGATGGAAGGATAACTCCAGCTTCTCCTTGGATGGGCTCAACAACAAAGGCACACACATTTGGATCCTGCAGTTCGGCTTCTAATGCTTCCAAATCGTCATACGGTATCTTTTGGAAGTTTGGAACGAAGGGGCCAAAATTATTTTTACATTTCTTATCAGTAGAAGCTGATACGCATCCTAAAGTTCTTCCAGAAAAGTTCTTGTTGCACACAATTATTTTGGCTTCATTTTCTGGTATTTTTTTCACTTCATAACCCCACTTTCTGCACATTTTATATGCTGTCTCGTTTGCCTCTGCTCCTGTATTCATCATTAACACTTTGTCGTAGCCAAACAAGGTGGTCAAGTACCTTTCGCACACCCCGAGAGAGTCGCTAAAAAATGCTCTGCCGCATATTGTCAGTTTTTTGGCTTGATTTATCATGGCATTCAAGATATCGGGGTGGCAGTGGCCCTGGTTTACAGATGAGTACGCCGACAAGAAGTCATAGTACCTCCTATCTTCGATGTCGTATACAAAAACGCCACTTGCTCTGTTGAGGACAACGGGGATTGGGTCGTAGTTGTGTGCTCCATAGGTCAACTCGTTGTTCATGTAGTCTTGGCTGCTCTTGAGTTCTTTTATGAAGTCCATTTTGGCTCTACGGTGGGGGGCAACGAAAGAAAATTAAAACAGACAAATAAGCAAACAGATAAACAAATAAGCAAATGACAAGGTTAGACAGATGCCTATGGGGGGACGGCCGCGGAGCGACAGATTTGCAAAAAAAAAGAAAAATTATGAACGTTCATACATTTTTGCAGAAGAAAAAAAAAAATATATATTTTAGCTAGCTTAGTTAGCCATTTTTCTCGCTCCAAAAAAAAAAAGAAAAGTGGGGGCCGCGGCACAAAATATGCGCGTAAGAAGAAGAGGTACACGTACGCCCGGTGCTGGCATACTTGACGTATGGCCCCCCTTTTTTGGTCTGTTGTAACCCTCGGCGTGCACCAACACAGTTGCCTCAGGATACGCTTATGTGGCAAAACTTACAGTTCAGTTAGGGAAAAATAATGCGAGTATAGGCTGCAAAACCAGGGTGGAAAAACGTAGCGTAGAGATTGAGTATACGCGGGCAAAGGAGATTATTTTCCTTGTAGGGAGAGAAGTGCTAAAGCGTGATGCCTGTGTTAGGGATTAAATAGGGGGGAGCGCATAGATGGAGGGGGGTTCGCGCTGGGACGGTATCGCGTATGCGCGGTGAAGTTCATCTGATTAGCACATGCACTACTGGCACGTTCCTAGGCCAATACGCGCGCAGGAACATATAAAAACTAGGTTCGCGCAAATGAATTTTCTCTCTCCTCAGCCATCAAAAACGTACTTGCAGATTTGAGAAGATCTGTGCAGATTTTATGCTGGGATAGTAGTATAAACAGGGGGGAGAGGGTTACGGGAAAGTCACAAAGAGTTTCCTTCTTTCCTTGAAAGGGGCGAAGCAGTGAATTGCTTCTAACGTATGTGTAAAGAATTAGCAGAAAGTTGGGTAAGGTTTTTTTTTCTTTAAAGCGAAATTATGCTGTTTTGAGGGATAGAAGGATGAAAAGGGAAAGTTTTAGTTTCAATGCGTTTGGGTATAGGAATTATAGTTTAGGTTTGTGGCTTAGCTTTTTCGTTTAGGTTTTCGCTTTATGTTTTTTGTTTATCTTTTTGGTTTATGTTCGTGCATTAGGGTTATTTTTTTTGATTCAAATACTTTCGCTCCTCGTTACGTTCTCTCCTTCCTAACGTTGGGGTTATTTTTCATTTCGTGAAAAATACATGGCCAGTTGGAATAAGGGGATCTTCATAATGAGAATACATATATATTACGCGCCGATGCATTTGCATTATTGTTAGTATGTACCGATACGGCATGCGCTCCTGCGTTAGCTCCAACGTGCCGACTCCTTCTACCAAACATGCAAATAAAAATTATGCACTCTGAGTGGCGCACTGACGGTAGTCTAACGCATTCTCAGTAAGGTTGCACTTTATCCGTCCCGGTGACAGGCATATTTTAACCGCTCCTCCGTGTGGTGTAGGGGGATACAAGAAAATGATTCAACTTCCCATTGCACGAAGGGCATCTCATGTGCCGCATGGCTTTTACAGGAGAGGAACCGAGAGGGGATAAATATAAATATACATCTCTGCATGCTCATGCACATGGGTATACATATCCGTATATATGTATTTCATTTCTCTTTTGCATGTAGTGGTGGGCTTAAGAGTAGGCGACTTTTATGCGCTAAAAAATGTAAAGGGGGTTAGGGAAAGGTAAATGCTTATGCGTGGCTGCTTCTTATGAACTTATCCGCTAGTGGAACCTCGGGGTGGATCCCGTACCTACAACTTGTTCGCTTATCGAAGGGAAAAAAGAAGAGGAAGGCCTTTTCCAGCATATCCCACCCCCCATCTGCATATTAGTACTTCCTCATTTTATCGGGCAACATGCACAACTTTCGGGGTCATGTAATAAAAGGGGTGTAAAACTTACGCCACTTGTTTTGCAGCGAAGAACACTCCCCCCATAGAAACACAGAGAGGGGATTCATCCGTGCCGCAGCGCTGACCCATTCGTGGCGGATGACTCCTCATAAAACATAATGAGGTACTCTTGGCTGCTTTATTTTGTTTTCCCTCACTGGTGGTGCATTTCAAAATTGATGCATTCCAACACAGAAGCAAGTTTTAAAAAAAAGAAAAAAGTACCTACCTATTTGCAGCACTGTTCCCGTTTGTACAATTTTTACCTTCTCCTACCTCGGCCTGCCGCAGAGATGGTGAACTGACCCACGTCACCTTCCTGCCGATGGAAAAGCTGATTTTTTCTCTATTCCGTTTTTAAGCGGTGTGCATAAACATGTGGGTGGAGCCGTCCCCCATCTGTTTCTTTTGCATACCCTGGGGGACGAAATCCTTTGGTTTTTATTAGCGTTTTATTACCGTCCGGGGGGGACAGCGCTACGGATGCAGAGAGGGGGGGGGTTTATAATTAGAGGAGCTTCAAGCACGTCCCATGTGGCAATGTTGCCACGTTGCCATGTTGTCATGCTACTGAGCTGCTATAATGCTATTACTGCGTTATTGGGCACCCTGACGGCTGCTCGTTTTGGCTTTACTCATTTAGATGAGGATACGTGTAAGTACAGATGGGTGAAGGTACAGATGAGTGAATGTACACCTGCATGAATGTTAAGTTATGCACACGTAAAGGCACACGCGCAATTGTATGTGCTTTGTGGCTGTTTTTTCTTTCTTCTCTTCCGTTTGCGGGAAGGAGAGAGGAAAGCGACATACTAGGAGCGTCACTTTCGTTTGGGGGGATGAACACGAAATGAGAGCGCGGCAAAGAGAGCGCGGCAAATACTGCTGCGCAGTCGTCATAACGCCTGTGTTTGTTTGTATCCATGTACACGGCGTGGTGCACATGAGAGGAGTCCTTTGCAAGGCTACGGGCTGCGCGCCGCTCATCTCATCGTTTCGTGAAATGGGCATTCACAAATGGCGTCGCCCTGCTGGTGCGCATTAAGAGGGTTATCGATGAGGTGTTCTCCGTTTGGCAGCCCGTTTGGCAGTTCGTTTGACTTCCTTCTTCTCCCCTTTACTTCTCTTCCCCCATGGATTTGCCCGCCCGTATGATCTCGTCGACGAGCAGGATCTGCTGCGAGATGGCCGTAGCGATGGAGATGATTTGCTTCTTCACACAGTAGTTGTCGTATATGCCTGCGGGGGGAACGGTAACAGGTTGGAATAATTCAGGTTGGAATAATTCAGGTTGGAATAATTCAGGTGGGAATAATTCAGGTGACATAATTGAGGTGGATATTTTGGAAGGGACGATACAGACTCCACGGTGCAGTCGTTGATGCGGTAGGCACTGCAACCCGCTTCTTCCAATGGCTCACCCTTCAAATGGGCGATGATCGGCTCGCCAGTATCCAAGTCAAGTCCAAGTGGTTCCGACTGGTCGGCCATATATTTGTCAATCACGTTAAAGAGCGTCTCGTGAATGTCCAGTCCGCTATTCTCCAGAAGAACCTTGGGGATGTTGAGCAAGCTATTCGCATAAACATCGAAAGAGAACTTCTGCTTCCCTCGCATCTTTTTTTCCTCCTCTTTTAATTTACAATAGGCCATAATTTCAAATGAGCCGGCCCCCGAAATGACACATTCATCTTCGATAGCATTCTTTATGCTTCGAAGTCCATCTCGAATGGCATCTTTTATTTGCTTAATGGTGTAATCGTTTGGAGCTTGTATGTACAGGGTGCAGCTCTTAGGGTTAACGACTTCTTCAATGAAGGTATACTTCTCATCGTTAATACAGATCTCGTAGACGAGTCCTGCGTAGCCTAGATCTTCCTCCGTCAAATCGTAGACATTGTTGCATGCATTTCCACCACAGCAGAGGACTATGCGTTCTAGGTTTCTTCTTTTAATTCGTCTCAAGGCCATGATGTTTTCCTTGGCCATTAAGTCTAAGCTAATGGGATCGATTCCCTTCTGATTGAACACAGCAAAGTTGTACATTTCGTTGGTCTCTTTAAATTTCTTTTCTATAATACTCTTCTTTAGCTCAATAATCTTCTTCACCTTATCATCGGTGAACTTCCTCTCTGATTGTACTAGCTTGTCTCTATCCTCAGCAGTGGAATAAACGAAGGAAGAAAACACTTCACTCTTTTCATACTCCAGGCTCACATTCAACACAAGAGTGAAGCATTTGGTCAGTTTGTTCGGCATATTCGGGTGCCTACACCCATGGTCCAGCACCATGCCTCTCACCAATTTGGTATTTATACTCATATTTTTCTTCACGTCCATAATTTCGATCATATGAAGATCTATCTGCTTCTCAGGGCTGTAAATAACTTTGATGCTTTCGACTAAATCATCTGACAATTTGTCTGCCAAGGGGATGGGCAATTTGGTCCGGATGCACGTCTTGGCAACGTTGTAGAGTAACTCTTTGTCGAAGTTTTCTTTTATGTTTATGGGTATTTTCATGGTCTCCAGCACATTTAGAAGAATGGCTTTGGCTTGATCGAAGCCCTGCGTGATGATACGTGGATGGATGCTCTCATACAGAATGTACTTCTCCGATAGGTATATTAATGACGTGGCTACGATGAGATTGCTGCTGGAGCCGTCTCCTAATGTCTCGTCGATGGAGGAGCATATCCGACTCAGCATGCTGGCCGTTGGGTGCTGAATCATCATTTCGTTAAGCAGGACATTGCCATCCTTCGTAATTTTGATTGCGCCGGAGCCGCTCACCAGCATTTTGTAGCTCCCCTTGGGCCCCAAATTGCTCTTAATTATTTCATACATCCCTTTGCTCGCATTGATGTTCGTGAGAAGCACGTTTGTAGAGCGGAGGCTGTCCGCCTTCTTGTTCAGCAGGTGGATGGACATCTGCAGGGGGAAGCGGTGCGCGTGTGAATTGGGTAGCCATGTGAAGGGAGGGGGAAGATGAATAAATAAGTGCATGCGGGACAGCGGCGGGAGTGTGGGCCTATCTGTGTAGGCCTCTTCTTCCGCAGCTGGGACGTACCTTTGCAAAAATCGCAGCGGGGTGGAAAAAGAGGATCTTTAATTGGTCAGACTGTCAACTCTTCCGCTGCTCAACTGTTCGGCTGTGGGCTGCTCGGGCGGTTGGCAGTAGGCGACGCTTTATGTTAAGTTTTTCCAATGTTGCCAGTTTTGCCAGTTTTGTGGCTGCCTACTTCAAGGGCTTCCTCTCCGCTGTGCGCTAAATGGGCGGTCACTTTGTTTTCCCCTCTTCGCACGCTTTTTTTTTTTTTTTCTCTTTTGCTGCCCTATTTTTGCGCTGTTATTTTGTGTGTTGTTATCTGTGCGGTGTTATTTTTTGCGGTGTCATTTTTTGCGGTGTTATTTTTTGCGGTGTTATTTTCTCCGCTGCTATTTTCTCCGCTGCTATTTTCTCCGCTGCTATTTTCTCCGCTGCTATTTTCTCCGCTGTTACGTCTTTGGTCCTCCCCCTTGCCTAACTTTCTCTTCCCTTTTTGCAGAACGACGTGGAAGCGAAATTTGTAAGCGCGGCTGGGGGGCGACGAAGAAATGCACCCACGTTTGCGGGCGGGACGATACTCTCCCTGTAGAGCGGCAGCCCACCAAGGCGATGCGGTGCGGCCACCAAAGAGATGCCGTGCAGCCCACTAAGGCGATACGGTGCAGCCAACCAAGGGATGCCCCCATGGCGTGAATAACTGCTTACTACTAGGTAGAGAGAGAGAGAAAAAAAAAACGTGTACATGTGATTGCACCCTTTCCTATGCTACTCCGCGCGTGCATTTGCTGTTAGCCCACTTGTGCAGCGGCACCCGGACGTAATTTGTTAACAGTGGGCATTGCGTAACGGAGTACTCTGTTGAGGATCTACGCGGGGAAGGGGGGCTGTATTCCGCGAGTGAAGGCTACTGACCTTGTAGAGGATGCCTTCCACTTGCCGCCCCAAACTAGGGGTTCTAATTGAAAGGTGCACTACAATGTTAATCCATCCTCCAGCGTCCGCTCCCATTTTAACGACCCACTGGGAGGAACCAACAAAGGGGTACATATAACTGAAACTGAGGAGGCATCAGCAGGGCTGGCTTTCCCCCTGCGACTTCCTTTCTCTATCCTTTATTGAATAGGCGAATGCACCGCAGAGCGTCTCCTTCGTTTGAAACGTCCGCACCATGTGCAGTGGTGAAAAGAGGACATTTCTAATTATCCTTTTGGCTTCTAAGTCAACTTCGACGAGTATCAGCTGGGGGTGGAGGACGCCACATCTTTGCGAAGCCAAACGGAACAGGAAGGGAGGCGCCATTGAAGCTGATTACAGGTGTGTTTTCAGGACCAAGAGGATCCCATTTGTTGATAATTTCTTTTTTTTTTTTTTTTTCTTTTTTTTCTTTTCTTCCTTTTCTTCCTTTTTTCTCTTTTTCCTCTTTTTTTTGTTCAAAAATTTGCACACCTGGAGTGGTAGCCAAACCGGGAGTGCCAGAACGAGTGATGACCAAATGGGGAACACAGCAACTGTGCACGGGATGACATGTGCATTTCATACAACAGGCTCACAGTTCGTAACAGTTCATGCGTGGGAGGAAAAGACGGGGCGATTCAATTCGTTCGCCCCGTGTGCAGCCAGTCGCGTTAGCGCGATGGTTGCAGGGGTGTATGTAAAATGGGGGAAAATTGCGCATAACTACAAACGTGGCCGGTAGGAGCGAATAACACGGCAGATGCCCAGGTCTACGTCTTCGGGGGCGCCCCAATGGTTCGCCATCACCGCGTCAGGCAACACCGCTTCTTTAACCATCGCCTCTTTAACCACTACTTCTCTAATCACCGCTTCTCTAACCACCCTAACAACAGCGCATCTTTTTTTTCTTAATTTTTGGGGGAACGGAGTTATGCGACACGTGGGGGTAAATCAGCAAGTAGCCCTCAGAAGGGTTCAAGCCGTTATTGTATTTGTACCCGAGTTTTTCAGGAGCGAAATGATACATAGTGGTGCTTTCATCCTCTTTTCCAGGAATAGCAAAATCTGTAGGAGACAAAGAAGGGAACGTAATCTGTCTATTAATGCCTTCAAATAAGCTCATGCTTTTCTGATTCGATGGGTGTATTATAAGGTGTTCATATCTTTTCTTGTCAAAGTGGATGGGATCCATGGAGGCAAGGGAGTCATTATCGATGTGGTAATTTTTCCCCTCACCATTACTGGGAGGATTATTTGTTTCGTTAATGTTTTCATTGAACTGTTCTTTGTTGCTGGGAGGTTCATTCGGAGTTTTAGAGTATTCATCCTCCTTCTTCTGTGTGTCTTCGCTGGGACCGCTTTCTTGCGTGTCTTGAAAGAGGTGGCTCGCTCCGTCCTGGCCGTCCCCAGCCTGGTCGTCGTCATGCGGGTAGGAACCTCCTTCGTAGTCACCGTGTTGGTGATCGCCACTTTGGAAGACGCCGTCGCTTTGAAAGATACCACCGCTCTGGAAGACACCACCGCTTACGACAGGGGGATTCATGACACCCACATTTGCCGCAACCTGTTCGGCATCCCCTTCATTGGCGCTTTTGACGTCGCCTGAGTCGTCCCCTTGGACATTGCCTAAGGCTGCCTCTTCAGCGTCTTGTAAGACGTCCTCCTCATCGTTCTGTAAGACGTCCTCTTCATCGTTCTGCGAGACGTCCTCTCCAGCGTCCTGTAAATCTTCCTCCTCTGCGTCGTGTAAGTCCTCCTCTTCGACGTCGTGCAGCAATTCCCTTTCTGCGTCACTTGCGGCTTCCTTCTGCGCGTCCTTTAAGGCATCCTCCACGTCACTTATTGCTTCCCCGTCCACTTCACTCATCGCCTCCTCCACGTCACTCATCGCTTCCTTCTCCACGTCACTTATAGCCTCCTTCTCCACGTCACTCATCGCCTCCTTCTCCACGTCACTCATCGCCTCCTTCTCCACGTCACTTATAGCCTCCTTCTCCACGTCACTTATAGCCTCCTTCTCCACGTCACTTATAGCCTCCTTCTCCACGTCACTCATCGCCTCCTTCTCCACGTCACTTATGGTCTCCTTCTCAGCGTCACTTATCGCCTCCCTCTCCACATCGTTTAGTACTTCCTTGTCTACGTCATTTTCCTTCTCATTCAAGTCGCTCTCCGTGGAATACTCCTCATTCTCGTCCGCTTACAAATGGATGAAACAAAAAAAACCAGACAGATAAGTGAGTCAACGGAGAAGGAAAAAAAACAAAAAAAAAAGGGGTCCAAATCGTTCCTCAAAAGGAACAATCATCTGTGTAGTGAAACACGATTTTTCACTTATGTTATGACTATACACCGATTTTGCCTAAACGAGCTAGCTTTTTTTTTTTTTTTTTTATCCATTTTGCATGAACTCTTCATGTAAAAATACAAGTCGACACAAAACAGTTGCAACAAGAGGAGACACATTCACATAGTAGTAACTTCCCTCACTGAAGTGTCATCGTGAATTATCATCACGATTTGATTGCATATGTATGTGTGCAGAAAGAAAAGGGCATATACCTGATTTGTTTAAGTCACTGAAATCATCCATCCTTTGAAGGCAGCGTGGAAGTTACTCAAATTGGTGTGTACAGTGGTGAAATTGGAAAAGTGGAAGTGTGCGGTATGATCCTCTCTGGTTAGACATATGTCGGAGGGGACAAAATGATCAGGGGAAAAAATGTGAAAGAATAGTAAGCATAAATACACAATGTGAAGGGACTTTTCCAAAGTGAAAAATTGGAAGAGCGAAGGCGGCTATTTCTTTTTCCCCTTTTCCATTTCTTTTTCTTTTCTTCTTTTTATTTTTGCACTTTGCCGATGTAGCGGTGCGAAAGCGTAGCTACCTTCCAAGCGCTAGTGAGTCACGACGAGGCAAAGGGAGCGAACATACTTCTACATAATTTTTTTTCGCATTAGGGAACATAGCACTAGCTAGTTCGTCCAAGTTATTCTCCCTTTTAATGTACACATGGAAGGGGCACGCTTTGGGAATTCCTGTTTTTTTTTTTTTTCTTAAATCTTTGATAGGGTGACAATGACCAAATAACCAATGGGGGAAATTTCCATATTTTTTTTTTTTTTTTAATCCGAGCTAAAACGAGTGTATTAACATCGTCCCGATAGGGGTCCTAGACATGTAATGAGTCCCTTACGTGAGTCTCACAAATGGGTAAGGTGCAGTTTGGGTGACTACGTAACTATGCAGGGGGGTTAGCGGCATGTAATTTTCTATTCAGACAGAAAGAAGGTGCGGTAAAAAAATCTTTGGGGTGCTCGAAGCAAAATTGGGAAAAGGGTTCCACGAAGGGTTTTATCGATTCGTTTAAGAAAGGCGGAAGTTCCCCTTCGGCACTAAAGTACGTGTCACGAGAGTACCTAATGGGGAAGTCTAACAAACATCCATTTGTGTATTTCCCTTTTTTTTTCTCTTTTTGATAACAACGGGTTGATCTCTTCTCCCTTAGACATTCCCCTGCTCCGTCGCCTCGAACAGGATACACATTAGCTACTAACGCAGTGTTAGCAGAAGATGTTTTTCCAACTTCAGCGGTGTAGTGAAAGTGCCTTCTGAATCGGAAGGGGGAATTGCCTAAGACGACGGTCACATGTTCGGTGGCAAATCTTTGGAGAAGGATGAGGGGAGATAAAAAGAAAAAAAAAGGGATTCCTCGCATGTGCCTAACCGCGGTGATCTGTTTTAGAGATTGGCCGCAGATCTGATCACTGATGATGCACCCATGCCTATTGTAGATATAATGTGCATACATGCATATGTTCTTATGCGCAATTTTTTACCTATGTATGCTCTCCTTATGTCATCCCTCCCCGCGGAGAAAAATAATCTTCCCACTCCATCCCCGATTGACACCCCTCTGTTGGAATGTTCATTCGACCCCCCGCTGGGAACTTTCCAATTTAAAAAATCCTCGCCTATTTGTGTACATCATGTTGTGTGATCTTTTTTCGGCACACCGGGGAGGCAATGCTGACCCCAAGTTTCGCATTGCATGTGTCATTAGGAAAAAAAAAAAAAAAGAAGGGAAGTTAATGTAAGGTAACGCAAGCTAAATAAAACAAATCGAAGCGAAGCAAATGGGCTAAGGGCTCATTGGATAAGATGAAAAGGAAAAAGAAGAAAGAAAAAAGAAAAAAAAAAACTAGGAAAAAATAGAAAAAAATAGAAAAAAATAGAAAAAACTAAACAACTCCCTCCTGCGCTGGCATGGTTGAGGCTCACCCATAGGAAAAACGCGCTCCATCCATGTTCACGCGCAATCGCACATTTGTATGGCATTATAAGATGCTCATATGCATCCCTGCAGGTGAACACACAAGGGTAAAGTTCGCCACTGTTCGTATGCAAATTCTGTAGGCTCCCCCCTACATCCACTAAGAAGAGATGATAGCATAGTGTAGCGAAGTGAAGCACACCTCTATTTTTTATTTTTTATTTTCTTTTTCTTTCTTGTTGCCAAAGGGGGAAAGATGGCCGATGGGGAGTACAGCTTTTCCTTGACAACCTTTAGCCCCACGGGGAAGTTAGTTCAGATTGAATATGCCCTGAATAGGGTCTCCAGTAGTTCCCCTGCCTTAGGTAAGGATTCGGCGTGATGGAGAAAAGTGGGGCCATTTCGATGAATCGCTTATTCACATCTTCGTCCCCTGCTATTTTCCTCCTCCCCTTTTTGTCCGTTTACCCCCTTGGCTTACACTTATGTCCATTGGCATATGCATATATAACAGCGCTGCTATGAAGTCAGATGCTATACACTACGCTGCTATACTTGTTCATCCTTTCCACCCTCCCCCCCAAGGCATCAGAGCCAAGAATGGTGTCATAATCGCAACGGAGAAGAAGAGCCCAAATGAACTCATAGAAGAAAATAGCATATACAAAATCCAGCAGATCAGTGAGCACATTGGAATTGTATACGCAGGAATGCCTGGAGACTTCCGGGTGTTATTGAAGCGTGCCCGGAAGGAAGCAATCAGGTATTCCCTACAGTATGGAAATGAAATTCTGGTGAAAGAACTTGTTAAAGAAATAGCATCCATAGTGCAGGAGTTTACTCAGACGGGTGGGGTGAGACCATTTGGTTTGTCCCTGCTGATCTGCGGCATAGATGCCTATGGATACCACCTGTATCAAATTGATCCCTCCGGGTGTTACTTTAATTGGCTAGCTACGTGCATAGGAAAGGACTACCAGAATAATATTTCCTTTCTGGAGAAAAGATACAGCAGCGAAATAGAGGTGGAGGACGCCATACACACCGCCATCCTCACGCTCAAGGAGAGCTATGAGGGCGTCATGAACGAGAAGAACATCGAAATAGGCGTGGCCTGCAACGACAAGCCCTTTAAAATTCTGACCCCGAACGAGATTAAGGACTACCTCATCGAGATAGAATGAGCGGTGGGGCGGAGAGGGGCGGCGATGAGCAGAGGGCAGGCGATGAGCGGAGGCTGTGTAGCAGTGGGGGCAGCCTACCGGTGAAATTGCAGAAGCCTGGCGGGGGAACCCCCCTGGTGTACATTGTTTGAACACTGCCAAGGGAAGTTGCCCTCCCGTAGTGGCTGTGTACTTGCCCCGTTGTAGCCCCTTCGCTTCGTCCCCTTTCGCTGCTCTGAATTTCACCCCTCCCTTTCGTGCCTTTTTTTTAAAACCTCGCACCGTCGGAGAAGCATCAACGTATGATCTCCCCTTGGGTGACGAACAAAACGGCATGCCGCGCGAAACTATTTAAATAGCTATATATACTATGTGTATACCTAGGTGTGCATTTTTTTCCCACCACTGGGAAGTAGCCTTCTTCGTGGGAAGGGCTCCCAAAAGTGCTTGCTCATATCTTGGCGTGTTGAAGCAACGCGGCTGATGGGATGGTTGGCCCCATACGGGGATGTTCATTGGGTACATAATGAAATGTAAATTGTAATCGTTCCCATTTCTGTGCTTGTTCCGTACGTCACCCTCACGGCGCACGCCGAGCGCGTTTCGCCCTTTTACAATTACACCCCTAACTGACAAGGAAATTCTCCCGAAGTCGCCCCCCAAAAAAAAAAGTACACAGGGGGGATGAGCATCAAAAATAGAAAGGAGGCACTCTAATTGTCTGTTTTCAGAGCGTGACACTCTATATATAAAAAAAAAAAAAAAAAAAAACTCCACGTGCCCATGCCCCGGCGCAACTCGAGGTACGAACACCTTTCGAGTTTCCTAGCAAATTGGGCGAAGGCAACTTGCGGTTAGGATAGTAGCGAAGTGTGAAAAAAATGCCACAAGGAAGAAGTAGCTCTCCATGCATACGCTTTCACGCACATGCGGATGAAGCTCTTGATTATTTACGCGTGATTTGTCATCCTCCCCCCCCCATGAAAAAGAAACACACAGCTGACCAAAAATGAACTGCATACGGGCCATATTTTGTAAAGGCCGCCATGCGGTCAGGGGGAAAAGCACACCCTTCCTCATTAGCGGCAATTTTAACGTTGTTGGAAGGAGGAACATCAGCATGGGCATGAGGAAACTGAACAAGGATAGCCCCGGTGAACAAACAAACTATACGAGCAACCAACCAAAGGCAGTCCGCGTACCAATAATGCGGTTTTTCTATGGCGTCATCATTCTAATGGCAGTTGTCCCTATATGCCAGACCCTCTACGAGACGAATAAATATTACGACGAGGTAAGCTAGCCATTTGCATCACTCCGTTTTGCCCCTTCCCCCATTTGCTCCAATGCAACACTGTTCTATATATCTTCCTTCCTTCTTACGTCGCTCTTCCTTCCTCCTTCGCTTTTTCACCCCCTTTCCCACCCACCACCTACGCAGAACAAGCATTTGTACGAAAAGGGACAGTGTTAGTTAAATCTGAGAGGAAAGGCTTTCTCATGTTTCGCCCCTGTGGGCAGTCCAACCCTGAAGTCTAGGCATTTCTGTGTGCCATGGATCGGTACACCCGACCGGCAATTTTTTTTTTACCTCCCCCCCCCCTCACGTCATGTGTATGTCCCTTGTTCTATCACGCCTTTAATTTCATCTGTATGTTCCGGCGCGCATAACTTATAACTGCGAAGTTAGCTGTGCGTCCCCCGACGCGCGGAGTGACGACACTCAAACATGGATAACGTGCCCAATGGGGCAAAAAACAAAATGGAGCATGCAGAGGTGCACCGATGGGGCAGTTTACCAACGGGGCTGTGTAGCGAAGTCGGCGCGTTTGCCTTCAACGTAAAAAATGGGAGGAGTGCTCATGTAGCAACGGCGGAGAGCCCCTCGGTGGAAGCCAACCGCAGGGAGGACGAAAAAGGGGCAGCAAGGAAAGCAGCAGGGGAAAACAAAGACAGAAAGAGAGGGCAATAGTGACGACAAACGGGGTAGGAACAAACGGGGCAGGAACAAACGGGGCAGGAACAAACGGGGCACAAAATGGTGATGTACCCCAGGGAGGAAAGAGCCTCCCTTTTTTCCGCACTATAACATGCCCCTAAAGTTTAAGCCCACCTGGAAGTACTTCGTCCGGTCATTCAGGTGATGCAAAAGAGGAAAATTAAAAAAAACCTCCAAGGAGACATTCTTCTGTATGTATGTCATGAGTCCGATCCCAGTGGATGCTCTCATGTCTCTCTTTAGCTGATCAAAGGAAGAGAAAAAATGATTGCTCAGTCGTCCCACCTGCACATAAAAGAACAGAATGGGATTAACATTCTGTAGCTTTAAGATATATTTACATACGAATTCAAAGCTGGTGATGAAGTTGGCCCCCAGGTAATTATAACAGATTCGGTAATCTCCTCTTTTTCTATCAAACTTGTAACCGACGTCTGTGTCTCCAATGCTGCTATGTTCGAAGCCTCGAAACGTTAGGGAGGTGCCTATGCTTCCACTGAAGTGGAAGGCCCCTAGCTGGTACGGGTTGGTTTTATCAAATCGATGTTTCACCCCATTGGTAAAGCTTACATAGGTGAGAACATCCTCACGGAGCCTCTTCACAAAGAGGTAGTGCAACTGATTTTTAAAGGATTTCTCTTCGCAGAAGGGCAAGGAGAGTTCACTCTCCATTTGGTAGAGGTAGCCTGACGTGGGGTAGTTGGTTTGTTCCACAAGTTGGGATGGATTGGCACTTCCTCCCTCGATGTGTCGATCTGGTACCTCTTCAGTGGGGCGACCCCCCTGGTGCAGTGATTCCTTTGGCCACCCATAACCCAGTGCATCTCGCTTGTACACATGGCGTATACTATGCTTGACATATCTCCCTGGCAACTTTAGCATCGATTCAGAGGGAATATAATTTCGACTTATACGTTGAAAGAGGGTGTTGAAATTTACGTCCCAAATGAATGTGTGCCTTTCTCCCACGAGGAATGTTTTGAGAGAGTTACCCTTCACTAAGTAGGATCCATGTTGTGTGTTACTTACGCTGCTGAGGTTTCCCTCAAAAATGAGGTTAAGGTTAGCCAAGTTACTTATTTGGGGAAAAACAAATCGGAGAGCGAAATTGTTTGTGTAGAAGCTACTTATGTTACCTTTGAGTTGGACACTATTGATCGTTCTGAGAACATACGGCACGTTCATCTCTAACTCGGCTGTTACTTCTCCGCGGTTATTTACATTGGTCCCTACGACATAGTTGTTGCTTTGCTCTTTTAGTGTGTATTTCACCTCCACGTCTGTTTCGGTGAGGCTCCTCAGGTTGATTAGCGGAGCACCAGCGAATATGTTTAACCGATGGATTTTTTCGTTACATTTATTAATCTGAAGAAAAAGGTCCTCCAGGGTTGCACTTTTCTTGATATCTTCAAAGAGGAAGTTGAGCTTTTCTCCTTTCACCTTCTTCACCCCCTCCACGTGGACTTGGACGCTCGTGAGCTTCTTCCCAGAGAGGGAATTATCCTCCATTTTGTGAAGCTATATAGCGACACATGTGAGTGGGAAGCTGCCATGTAGATGCCTTGCTTAGCCATGCGGTTCACTGGTTGGGGTTCCACTTAAGGGAGAATGTTCCACCCCCCCCCGGCTGGGGCTGGCTGGCATAGCAACGCTACAGCGGTGTGACCCCCCCTTTTTTCCACTACTCCGCGATGGAGAACGCTGATCCAGGTGGAGCAATTTCGTTCTCTTCGGTTTTGTTAGGGGAGAACGCATAGCCCACTGGTTGCGGTGCACTCTCTTCAACTTCTCTTCCAGTTTTGTCTCCTTTTCTTTTTTGAGGGTCAGGCCCCCATATTCCGAGGAGAGGGGGGCCCTTCCACGTTTAGTTGCTCCCCCGTTACAATGGCAATCGCACAACATGCTGGGCATTCCCACGATTGGCGAGTTCACAAACGGGTGCGCAAAGTAGGATGCCTCCCTCAGATGGAAAACAAAATTGAAAAAAAAAAAAATAAATAAAAAAAAAAAAAAAATGAAACAAAACGAAACAAAATGTAGCACAAATATCGTCCGCGGATGAAACAACTAATTGAGGGAAGTCATCCCTGAGCAAACCACATCACATGGCATGATAAGCAGTCATCTACCATGAGCCTCTCCCTCCCCGCCTCCTCGCAAAATCAACACGTCGACGGAGTACATATATACGCTGTACGTGGACAACAGTGTGCAGTTTGCGTGGCGGACCTTCCGCTTAAGCACCGACGCGACTGTCTGGTAGATGTTGATTTCGCCTTCTGAGATGGAGGGGAGCAACCCAGTTGGAAGCCGATTCGGCGGCTCACTCGGTAGCTTACTGAGAAGCTTATTGGGCCGTTCACTCGTCGACCCAGTCGCATCCACGTGGGCGTAGCCCCGACCGCAGTAATTGGTCAGCTTCCTCCTGTTACTCACCCCGTTGTAAACGGATGTGTATCTCTCAAACGGGGTCAGGGGGCTGAATTTTAAAAAGAAGTACAAACATTGTAGTAGCCTTAGTGGGTAGCTAACCAAGTTGGTGGCATCCCACTGGGGTGAGTAGCAAAACGGGTTCAGTGAACCCAAGTGGAATATCATCAAGATGGTCATGTTAATCTGTCGGATGCTCGCCGAGTCGATCTTCCTCCTAACGATAGCTTCTATGTCGCTATATTGTTCATTACCATCTCTGTCACTGCTTCGGTTCATGCTTTCCCTTGGGGAGGTGCCTTCGTAGAGGAGCTGGCGCAGTGGGCGACGCAGGTTCAGCCGGTCAACCATGAAGCGAAGGGAGAAGAGCAGCAGGTAGGAGACCATCTTAGCGTATCTTTCACATGGCAAGCGCAGGTGTGTGTTTATGAAGGCCAGCGTATTCATGAGGATGCAGGCCGTCTGTGTGTTCAGCTTGCGGCCGCTGAGCAGAGCCGCGATGCTGGGATCGTCCGCTTGCGCCTCGTCAATATGTATGATGTTTTGGTCCGATTCGCGCTTGGAAGGGGTTCCACTCGGGGTTCTGCTCTGCGTGCCACTTCGGGATGTACTTCCCGATGCACTTTTAGCGGCACTTCGGCTTCTACCTTGCATCCCCGCGTGGATGCCCTCCAAGTACGCACACATAACGTACGCGCTGGCCCTGTAATCGGGGTCGTTCTTTATGAGGCTCCTAACGATATAAACTGCGTTGACGACGTCTTCCGTCTGTAGCTGCGCGCAGAGGGTGGACATCTTGTCGAGGGGGTTGCTCTGGCCGCATTGGTTGCCATGGTCGTCTTGCTCGCCTTGCCCGCTTTCGTCTCCTTTAGCAGCTACGTTTGTCTCGCCCATCTTCAGGTGTGCCGTTTTAAAGCTGTCCGATATGATCTCTCTTATGTACCGATCGGGGATCAGGCCGAACTTGCTCACGTAAAGAAGGTACATGGTAAGAGACCTTGAATCCATTTTAAATATCTTTCTCCGTATGTTTTTTACGCACTGTTCGTATATCTGCCGATCGTGTGTGTCCAATTTGCTCATCGTGGCAAGGATGCAGCAGGTGTGCTTTGCGCTCAGGTTGTCGATGATGCTCCTCTTATCGTTGATGCGCGCGTGGTGCTGTGGGATGGAGCGGCTTCCCACCTCCTTGATGTGATTTGCCACATCGTCGACCAGGTTCTCTACATTGTCGGTGTTGCCCCCATGCCCGCCAAGGACACGCCTGCTGTTAGCCCCTCCCCTCAGCATCTCTATCATCACATGAATGATCTCTCCAAAGTGGCCGCTCGGATCCCCCGTGCGATGGTCAGCCCTCCTGTTCCTTTCTATCAGTGAGAATGTCGCCATGCTGGTAAACATATTAATAAATTCCATATACTTCAGATCTTTGTCTGCCAAATGTTTCTTTGCATGCCTCCGAATCAGATTGTAGATCTCCTCATCGACGTAGCCGAATCGTGCATACGCACTTGTGATGTTCAGGAAGTCTAACTTATTTATTTCGTTTTTTTTTCTTAAAATGAGGTGAGAGAAGAGTGCAAAGAGGTTGGCATCCGCGTGGTTTAACTTGCTTAGATTGTTCAGTATGTTCGTCAGATGCTTCGTGAAGAAGCCCTCGAGGAAGGCGCTGCGCATGGGCGGTTTGAAGCTCATCGGTGTGCCTCTCTCCCGTGTGTCGTTAAGCGGTGCTCTGCTCTCTGGTGCGCCTTTCTCCGCCTTCCCGCGTGCCAGTTTGGTGCTGGCCACCCCCGTAAGGGAGAACTCGCGGCGCAGGCGTCCCTTCACAAGCTGCAAAACGAAGCGTGTCTTCTCCGTGCAGAGGTAATTATACGACTTAGTAACGATGGTAACCACGTTGGAAGTGCACTGGTTGGATAAGCCATTTATCACTTCCCTCCTAGCCAGTCTCCCCAAAGCAGCATTAAACATCTTCACATTAACAATATCCACGTTGACGAAGTTGTTAAGGATGATTACAAGTGCCTTCACACTTATCCCATCGATGTTGGCACAAACATACTCAGCGATGGTGTCGTAGAGTACCCTGTCTCGGTACACAAACGACGAATACGAGTGCGTTACGCTGCTCACAAAGATGTCGGAGCATTTGTTCTTGTCCTGCTTAAGTTTTAAAATGACAACTATCTTTAGCATATCCAAGAGGGCCTTGTTCTTTACGCACGACTTGGTGCATGCGTTTAGGATTAGTGCGATGCTCTGCTCGCTTATGTGGTTAATTTTTTTTACACTGCTGATTAGTTTATCGATCAGCGCGCTGGCCGTCTGGTTGTCTGGGTTGCTCCGGAGATGGTTGCACACGACATGGTTCCTCCGGACATGGCTGCTTTCGACATCGTTCCTTCCGACATTGTTGCTCCCCACATGACTGGCTTCTTCCCCATGTGGGGCCTCCGCGGGGGTGGCCCCACTTGTCCAGTTCCCATTTGGCTGCTCCTCGCCCGTTTGGCTTCCCCTTGTCAGCATTACCCGAATGAGCACGCTGATGTCCCTCTCCGTGAGATTCCCACTCATTCGATCGTAATTTTTGTAAACGCTCTGGAGGGCCTGCCCTATGGGGTCGCCACGACCACTGTGACTACTAGGAGCAGCGGCCACACCGAAAATGCCAATCGCTTTAATCGTGTTCACCACATGTCGGTTCATTTCAAATTCGCTGATTATTTTTTCCGACGCGACTTTTAAGATTTCTTCGTTCCTCATGTTCACTTTCGCCAGTGCGTTCAGGACAAGGCACAACTCTTCCATGTTGAAATGGTACAGTATTTTGTCTTTCGTGCGCGTGTCTTCAGAGTGGAGGTCATTCCTTTGCGCTTCACCATCGAGGTTGCTTCCCTGTGTTCCCTCATTTGGGTTAAGTCTATTGATGTTTCGTGGATGCCCTTCTTGTGGGACTCCTCGGGTGAGTGCTACTTTGTCCCTCCGTGGTGCAGAAGTGGTTTCTTCGCAGCCGGGATTGGAAGCGCCGCTAACAGTCCGTTCGTTGGTGTGGAAGCTGACACTTTCACCGATGCCGCCGCTCACACCTTCGCTGATGTGGCCGCTGATGTGGTCGCTGATGTGGCCATTGATGTCCCCTCCCCGCCTCGCCCGGAGGCACTTGAACTTGTCCACCACCCGAACATCTGTTGTGGTGATTATCCGACAGACGTTGTCCCAAAAGGCTCTGTCCTCGAAATGTACCTTTGACAGCTTATTCAGGCATAGAGATATTTCTTGTGTATCTAGCAGGTGCATATTCTGGAGTAACTTCTTACTCAGATGCACCACGTCAGCTCTGTCCTGGCACTTGTTGATCCCTTTTAGGAAATACGTAAACATGCTTTTTCCTGACGATTTTTTTCCTCTTGGTTTGTCTCCCCTTTGTTTGTTTTCTCGATGGAGCCGTTTGACCCGGTTTCCTTTCGTTAACTACTCCCTTTGTATAGCTTCCTACTGACTTGCCACTTTTTCACATGATCATCCCCTCTTTGTCACGCTCACCCACAATGTGTATTTCTTCGCAGATTCTATTGCCTTTTTTTCCCCACAACATGTAGGTGGCAAATTCAGCTCGAAAGGGGAGGGGCAAGGTTGAAAACCCCTTTTGGCCCATCTGGGCAGGAGTTGCACCCGAGATTGCCGCGTCACCGCGTTAGCAGTGGGATTGGAATTGCGATTGGAAGTGCGATTGGAAGTGGCATTATAAATGTCATTAGGAAAGGGATTACCACAGGCATTGCCGCTTATAATTTGCAGTGGGGGGTCCATCTCTGGGTCGCACAGTCCACCGGAGAGGAATTTCGTCGCATTTTACTGTGCCGCCCTGTGTTATGTTGCCTTTTTTTTTGGGATTTTTTTGTGATTTTTTTTTTTTCCAACTTGAGGTATTCCCAAGGAGAGCGCACCCTAAGTGGATGCCGACAGGGCTCGAAGAGGTATCATTACAACGGGTAGGACCAGCACGGATAGTATCCACTCGAGTAGTACCCACACGAGTAACTTCCGCCACGCATGACCGTACCGACCTCTACCCTTTCCAAACATAGCAATGCAACGGAGGGTTGCCAACCCGCGCGGGCCCATGGAGAACGACAAATGCTTCAAATGCTTCGGCCTCTGTCTGCGCGCCATCCATTTTAGGAGCGCCCGCGAGTGGAAGCAATTCATGAACCCCAAAATGTAGGTGACAGAGGGGGGATGTGCTAAGGGCCCACAGTCTCCTGAGGCGGGTCTGCCCCCACACAGTACGATGCAGTACCATGCAGTACCATGCACTACCACAAAGTCCCACACACTACCTCCCACTACTATGCACCCCCACGCAGAGACGGCACGAGGATAAAAAAGATTCGCAATGTAAGCGAGAACGACATGCTGCACAAGCACAGGGTGCTAAAATACCCCTATTTCAAGATGAAGAAAATTGGACAATACAAGAAGGTAGAGACAAGTAACAGCCACCTCTTCAATCGAGACGTCGAAGTCGTATATGACTATCGCTATGCTGACACGTTTGTGAAACTCAAGGACATCATTTCGGACAATCTGGAAGGTAACCCCCTTTTTTGTCTACTTGGTAGTGTCTCATTGGGGGAGAGGACTCCTCCACGAAATTGTGTACCTATGTTTGTCCCTCTTCAGGCCTCTCCACCACTGCTACTCCATCCTCACCGCCACTGCACCCCCATCAGGAATAACCATCCGGGAGAGATGCACTGATGACGCATCCTTCGAAGTTTATGATTGCCTACGTAACATAACCCTCATCAAAAAAAAAAACCAAGGTTAGCCAAGGCATTAAAAAGGGGAAAAAAAAAAAAAAAGACAACACAACGCAATGAAGTACCAAGCAATGCAACAAAACGAAACACAACGAAATGTGTTACGGTTTGCTGAAGTAGGCAGATTAAAAATTAAAACATCAATAGGGTATCAGGACAGACGAGACGCATCTTGTGAAAGGCGCAACTCGCTGTGGAGGAAGAACCCTACTGACAAACAAACCGATAAGCAGTCTTGCGAATCGTAGAAATAGAAAAAGACCACGTGGTGTGATTAGCACGTGGGTCTGATTAGCACGTGGGTGTGATTAGCACATGGGTGCGATCAAAACATGGGTGCGATTCACACCTGTGGAAGGGTGAAGAGGGATCACCAGCCAGTGAACCCTTCTTCACCTAATCAGTGCGACTTCCCACGTGAAAGTAAAAATCCGTTCTTCCCCCTCTTCCACGGTCTGTAGAGTTAGAAGCTGAAGGGCTCTTTCGCGAGATGGTGCAAAGGATGCAGCAAGACGTATAATTCTGGGGGGGAACGAGGAGAAGCAACATGAGGACATACAGCGTACTTCCCCCACACACCTTACCCTTGACCTCTACCCCTACCCTTTTAAGTACAATTTTGTATGAGCTCTTTTGCGAAGGTGAACAGAAAAAGTAGCGACACGCTTCTATGGGGGGTCTTCTACTTTGTCTGCGTGTTTTCACCTTTTCTTTATCACGCTGCCTCCAGTTTGATTATACTTTACTTTTTTTCTGCTCCCACTTTGCTCGCCTTCGACTTGGACGTCAACTTGGACTTCAACTTCGACTGCGACTTCAACTTTGTAACGACCCTTTGGACCTTTTGATCCCGTTTTTTCATTTTCCGGATCTTCATTAGATGCGCCTTCTGCTTCATCTCGTCGATTTTTTTCAGCGTCCTTCTTCTGAAGGCCAACCACTTCTCCTCGCTCTTGGAGAGCTTCTTCTTGCGAACTCTTTTCCGGTAGGGGACGAAGACGTCGCTGTGATTTGTTTTTCCCGTCAGGTTGCTTTTCTTCCCCTCTCTGGTCGTTTCGCGGCTTCTATCTCTCCCGCGTTTCTTAGACATCATATAAAGCATCATATTGTCTTCCTCGTTAACAATCGAGTGGAAGAGCTTCTTCAGAGCCACTGCCTTCGGGGCTTGTTCGGCAAAGTGGTAAATGGTCACGTCGCTCTGTGCGCTTCCCTGGCTGTCTCGGTCGGTGGGGCTGCCATGATCGCCGTGTACGTGACCCCTGCCAACTTCGCCACCGCTTCTTTCGTCGCTCCGTTCGCCGCTTCTCTCCCCGCTGATCCTGTCCCCCCGCTCGGACAACCCGCCGCACACCTTGCGCAGCTCCAGTGTGCTCGCCAGCTCGTCCATCAAAACGAAGCATACACTGCGGAAGTTACCCCCCTTCTCCAAGTACCTCTTTATATTCTTTACCGCGCTAACAATTTGTTCATATTCTAATCCCTCCACTGCACACTTCATCCGAATCATATTCCTCTCCTCCTCGTCCGCACACACGATCACCCGCCTCTTATTTTTATCCTCCTCTTTTAGTATAACCATCAGAAGCTCCATTTTCTCTTCAAAGTTTTTTGGGAACAGATTTTCAAACTTGTGTTTACTCTTGGTACTACCCCGTGTGTGCAGTTGGATTCGGAGCTTCTCCGCTGCGCCGTTGTTCTTCTTGTTGATTTTTGTCTTCTTTCCTCTAGGGGGCGTTTCATCCTCCGTCAACTCGCCTCCGAAGTTGTCTCCCTCGAAGTTGTCTCCTCCGAAGTTGTCTCCTTCGAAGTTGTCTCCTCCGAAGTTGTCTCCTCCGAAGAGGTCTTCCCCAGAATCGTCTCCCAGATCGTCACCAAGCTGTGCACCATCGTCTCCCAACTCTTCCCCTAATTCTTCCCTGAAATCTTCTTCCACCTCCTCACCAGCCTCTGGATCGGTCTCTTCAACGTCTCCCACCCCTTCATGAACCTCCCTTCCTACTTCCCCCGGTAAGGCATCCACGACGGGCTGGCCCTCCTGCCGGAAATGTGCCGAAGAAATCTCCTTCTCCAAAATAAAATCGTTAATTTCAAAGAGGACCGAATCTTGTTTTTGCGTCACGTCGAAGTATTTGAGAACGTCCTGGTCGATCTTGGACAACCCCTGCGGGTTTGCCTGGCTGCTTTTCTCTCCACTATCTTCCCTCTTCGCTATATTCCCTTGATTCATTTTTTTCCGTTCGAGTGCCTTTCTGTACGTTATGTACTTTTTCAAATTTGAGAGGGAGAAATCGGACAAGTCCACTTTTTTGTCAACGTATTCTGCTTCGCTCCCCCTGCTACTTCGTACGTCTGTGCTACTTCGTATGTCCCTGACTGTAATGCCGTCTTCCGTGGTGTCACTCATCTGAGGGATTTCTTCTGATGTGTGGCTTCGGTTAGCGCCGTCCTTCTGGGTTCCTTCGTGGGTAAGGCCATTCTCCCTACACGGCCTCAAACGAATGACCACATTGACGTCGTGCGAATCGAGGAGCCTGTTCATGCGCTTGACTAGGTTGCTACAATTCTTCAGGTTCATCGTGCCGGGTCCACACCACTTTTTTATTACCTCCTGTAGGCGCTCTTCCTCCACTTCGTGCATATCCATGCGGATTAGGCTTTCCCCGATTTGGAGGACATTTTTTTTTTTTTTTTTTTTTTTTTTTTTTTTCTTGGCTTGCTTGTCCGAGTCTTCCTTATGAATAAATACATCTTTGTCCAAAATTTCGTTAATGATGCCTTTCAGCTGATCGTCGCCGAGCTTCCCGCTTTTCTTCTCCTTCTGTTTGTCGGTGTACTTCTTAAGGAGTGCCTCATAGTTCTGCTCTAACTTCCGCAGATGCTCGTACCTGATTTGGGTTTCCCTCCCGCGGACGCCGTCACCCTCGCTTGACGGAGCAAAGATGCGACTGGCCATTTCACCACTGCTGTTTTTTCGGGCCAAGTACTCCGACTGCAGAATCGTCAAATAGTCCAAGTCAAGCAAGCCGTCTCGCATGCAGTTGAGGAAGATCTCTTTTACCTGCTCCGCTGTGTACTCTTTCAACCGTCTCAACGAGCACAGGTAATTGGCATCCTTGTATCTGATCAGTCTAATTACATATATCATAAAATGGGTATCCAGATTTAGGTCACTCAAACTGTAGTTCTGCCACTTCTCCGTCAAGTTAGACTTTTTCAGGTAGGTCAGAATTTCTTCTCGCTTGCTTCTTTTTCCCATGCAGCAGAAGAGGCCGCTCACCGAGTCGACTAGCCGGGTGAAGTACAGGCAGAAGGATTTGTACTTCTCATCTTTCTGCAGCAGCTTGGTTATTTTTCTCTTCCCGGTGTTGCCGCTGTTGCCACTCCCCTTGAGGATCTGCTCCGCGTCGTTATCCACTACAGCCTGCTCGTCAGACCCCCCCTTTCCCTGCTCGTCAGCCCCCTCCTTTGCCTGCTGGTCATCCCCCTGGTCAGCCTCCTCGTTGCACTTATCGTTAAAGGTGAAGAAGCTGAGTAGGTTCACCACCTCGCTGACGTACACAGAGACTTCCAATACACCTTTCGCGTAATACTCGGTTGCTTTGAAGAGGTACGCAGCGGTGTTCACGTCTAGGCACTCTTTCAACTCTCGCTTGATGTAGGACCTTACCGATTCGTATTTGGAAGGATTATATAGATACTTTTGTTTCTTAATAAGTTTTACCTTTTTGTATATATGGTATAGATAGAGGTGGTAGTAATCGTCTTCCTTTTGCGCATTTAGAAATTTTCTTCTTTTCGGATGGGGAGTTTTTTCCTCTCTGGAGAGTACCTGACCTAGGGAGTCACCCTGCATAAGGTCATTCGAGCTGTTGTCCGTATGTATGGCTCCCTGTTGGAGCGTCCCCCCATTGTCACACACGTAATCTTCCCTCCATCTGGTTACGAACTTCCTCCCAACACCCCGACCCTTAACTTCTCTGCCCCAGATGCAGTTGCCCCTCGTGAACCCTAATAAACCACTCTTCTCCTTAACGAGGAAGCAAAAGGAAGACGTTAACAGTGCGACAGAAACAATGAGTAAGCTCCCCTTCATTAAAAAGAAGTGCCGTCCTTAGTACCACGTTGCATTCATTTCGTTTGTTTAGAAAAAATGGTAACAGGAGGGGGGGGGGGAGAAAAAAAAAGAAAAAAAAAGTCACGCACTATTATACACCCATGTGAGGATCTGGCGCGATTGTAAAAAAAAAGAAAAAAAACGCGCAGGTAAAATGAGAAAAAAGAAAAAAGAAAAATGGTCCCACCCCCGGGGGGTTACTACCACATGGAGAAAGCAAACTTGCAGCGGAGTAGAGACAGAAGCACAACTGTGTAAATCCCTCGTGAAGTTTCCAGATCGGACCTCACCTTCCAGAGGAGTAGCACTCCATTTCCGAAATAACTCTGTGCTGCCCCTTCACCAGCGCGAACACTGCCCCACACAAGGAGAATGATTAAAAGGAAATACAATTTGAAGTACTGTTGTGATGACATCTGCGTGTTCCCTAGTAGCACTTGGCTTAGCGGCAGCTGTTAGGCAGGCAAAAAGAAAAAAAAAGAAAATTGCAAAACAGGAAAATTTAAACGGGTACACCCCGAACGTGAGCCGTGTTTAACTCTGCATGGAATGCCTCTACACACAATCTTTTTTTCTTTCTTTCTTTTTTTTTTTTTTTCCTCACTCCGAAGGGGAAAAATTCAGCCCCAGTTTCGGCTTAACGGCCATTTCGACCTACCAGCTAAAGGTCCCCGATGAGGATCACAGAAAAGATGATGGAGACCCCTCGATAGGGACGCACCATGGGGAACAGAAAAAAAAGGGGAAGGTGTTCCTGTACCGACTAGAGGAAGACACCACTGAGGATGGAGACAGATCCGAAATGTGAGCACTGAGAGTGGTAAAATAAAGCGTGTCTGTGGAGCTGGCGCGGGACCATTCGCCGATATGTTGTCTTCCGCACATGGCTCGTTCGTCCTTCTACCGAGCTACCCATTCAGCCGGTCCCCATGTCATTGCCTTTTTAAAGGAGCCCCCTCTTGAAGTACCACAGTGACATAAACTTCCGCAGCGGCGTCCTCCAGTCGAGCTATTTATTCACCCACGACGTAAGTGCAAGGCACTTCGTGGTTTCGATTGACATGACCGTTTTAATCCGACCAACCGCACTTTTCCTTTGCACAGGTTTTAATTTAGATCATCCTAATTTACACTGTCCTATTTTTTTCCCTTTTTTTCACCTCTTCCCATGTTGGGTTTTCCCAAAATCCATTCGCAGAGCCTCTTGCTGGGCAGCGTTTGCGTTAACGGTTTTCACTTGGCTCACATGAAGGACGGAAGTCACCACCTTCTTTTCGCAACGCCAGATGGAAGGAACAATTCGGGTTAGAGACACAATCCATGGAAGGAGCCAAGCGATGCAATGAGCGGACACTGATTGGAACGCCTTACTGGAGGGATGATCCACACCATTCACATTTTACAATGCACTCCTTTTTTAGGTCTTTCCTTTGATGCCTTTGATGCATCCCCCGAGTAATAACCACGTGGAGAGAAAAAGCGGACAATGGAAGGAGGTAGAAAAATGCCTCAACAGGAACAGCCACAGTGTGTCCTTCACAATTATTCCTATTACGCTTCCTCTGTAGCAAAGTCTTCGTTACGTTTAGCAATGGGGACGTGTGCCTGCTCGTTGATGGAAAGGCCACCCAATTATGGTAAGTGTGTGGTGAGACTTGAGTGAATGCAAATATATCTTCTGTTCAGATGTCGGGGAAGCTGTCAGCTCGCAGGAGACTCCACCCGTTGGTTATCAGCCCACATACACCGCTTCACAAATGTATGAACAAATAAAACTTCCTCCCCCTCGCAGGAAGGCCCATGAGTACCACGTGTGGACGTGCACATTTAACGGAAGTGAAAACGTAGTGACAACAGGTTGGACGTGTCTTCCTCTGTACAACCACCAATTAGTAGGGGATTACCCGGCCAGTAATGTAACTAGACGTTTTTTTTCTTCTTTTTTCCTCCACATGACAGGGTCTGACGATTGCTCCTTTGCAATTTGGGACCTCAGAACGACAACAGCACCGTCAGAAAGGAATATAAGGTAGCACACTCTTCACATTTGCCCATCAAAATGGGGGAGGAAAAAAAAAGGCCCAGATGCCTTCTCCTTCTGATCGTGTACAGGACGGGTTACTATGTCCGTGTGTGCATCTTCATCTGTGTAAAGTTTTATCTTTTTTTTTCGCTACTCCCTTTTGTAGGTCCCACTCGCAGGGCGTCACGGCAGTCAAATTCGACAGCTTCCGTCAGCAGCTGTACACGGCATCGTAGGAAGCACGCGGAGATAAACGCACGACCTGTGCGTCCGTCACATGAATGCGCGTGTGCACTTATCTGCATGTACTTACTTTACCTGTGAGCTTCCCTCGCCCGCAGGTACGACAACAAGATTCGCATCTTCGACGCGCGAAACGTGCAAGACCCCCTCCGAACAGTTGACGTGAAGTCCAGCATATGGCGCCTTAAGTTTTTGTACAAGTAGGCGGGGCGCAGCAGAGCAGTGGCGTGGCTTGTGGTGGTGTACTGCTGCGAAATGGAACGGATTAATCACTTTGCCACGCCATCACTTTGACGCTCCACCCCCTTTCTGCTTCACTCCCTTTCCGCTTCACCCCCATGCAGAGGCACGGACGTGAACGAACTCCTAGTTGCGGCCTGCGACGGTGGGGCTCAGCTATTCAAGAAGATCAACGACGGTGCGGACGGAGAAAGCACACATGTCTGTGTGTGTTCTGATGTGTGTACGGCTGCGTGTAGGTGTTTCCACATTGCCGCATATCGTGTGAGCTGACTCAAGCTTGTGCCCTTGCCCCCCTTTACAGAATTCATTTTTGATAAGGGAATCCGCAATGGTAACGAACTGACCTACGGAATTGACGCCATTGACCTTGTCGATCTGGGAAAGGAAAAAAAAAAAATTTACCTTT